TGGCTTTTAGGAATGCTGTACTTCCAATTTATAATGAATATTTTCTTAGATTTTACGTAGAAAGGGAGCAGAGAAATTAAGAATTCGGGAACACCAATATCCTTTATTCTTATTTTATACTTGCACTAGAAATTCAACATAATAATTCCTAAGTCTTATTCTTAAAGTACTTATAAATTTTGATTATGTTATAATTTGTGACATTCAACATTTCATACTTTGAACCTACAAAAAGAGTGATTGCATGTATGAGAAACTTATATTTCAATACTGCTGAAATGGGCATATGAAATAAAAAATTTAAAGAATAAAAAATATAAGGATGCTATTGGCTGCATGTAAAAGAAACTCTGGTTTCAGACATGCCTCAACAAAAGGAAATTTAATTATTTCACATTACTGGAAGACCAGAGTTGGGAGGGCCCTGATCTTTGTTCCACGAGTGGCTCAGTAATGCTCCTTCCATCTTTCTATCTGCTCTCCTCAATGTATCAGTTAGGGTGGGCTAGGATATGTTGTAATTACAGACCTTAATTCTAGGATTTGAAAAGCAAAAACAGATATAAATTTTTGTACTCATGCTCCATGTCCATGGTGGGGCACTATTTTCATTAGCTATCAGGCATTCCTCACCGTACTCACTTAAGGACCCACGTCGACAAAACAATTCCCACATAGAGCACTGCTGATCAACATGCCAGAAGAAAATGGGAACTCCAGAGTGTCTTGAAGCAGCAATGAGATGCTCTGGTTCAGAAATAACACACCATTTCTGCTCGCAGCTTGTTGACCAGTACGAGTCACTTTACCCTCCCAACTCACAGGCAGGCCAGGAATTGCAGTTCTATGGTATGCCTGGAAGGCAGAGACTTTAGTGAACAGAGCTAATGATTATCACACTGAATACCAACTTCCACTCATAGTTGGTGCCTAACCCCGAACTCCCTCCCTTACCCCCCAGGTCATAACAACCAGAGGAACAACACCCAACAAAGAAGTGGAATCACTACTATTTTTAAGAGCAAGGAAATTTTTCTTAGAGTTCTTCAACAGACTTCCCTTACTTAGTATTGGCCAGAACTGGATCACATGTCCATTTTTAAGCATCCACTGCCAGGGGGAATGGGATTATTATAGTTGGCTGAGCTTAATTGGGAACTACCTTCGAGATCCACTTTCTCCTGAATCTCAGGATTGTCTGAAGTTGGTGTAGGTGTTGGAAAAGATGATTCTTTTTTGGCACTTTTTACTAAGTGAAATCCACAAAGGAAGGATGCTTCAATGCCATTGGCAATTTGGGCATGAAAACTAGAAGGAAAAAATGCGGAAATGCAGAGCAATAAAAAAGTGACCCAGTCTCACTCGCCCTTTGGTAAAACAGAAGGCTGGATGTGTCAATAAGATATACAGTGTACTTCAGTAAAGGTTGGAATAAACAACCCCTAAGATCCTCCCCAATCTTAAGATACTGTTATTTTCTATGAGTCTGTTGCTGCCATCATTTATGAGCACAGGGATTCAGAACACATTGGTGGGTGCTGGTGGTTTGAGGAACCAAATCAGTTTCCCTTACTCAGTGCCATTGGTCAAATCTTATTTGAGTTCCACTTGAGGAAGACACATTTCTTTTACCCATTACTAGGGAGCTCCCAGATATAGAAAAGCAAATTCTGTAATAATAAAGAGGAGGTGAAGCCCAGGGACAACAAAAGGAAGGTAATGGCTTAGAAACTGCACATAGTATGAAGGTAGACTCAGGGCTGTTGTCTTCAAATATGTTCTTACAATTCCCAAATGTATATGCCTATCATATGCTTCCCTGGACTTGAAATTCTTATGCTGGACAGTTCCACTTAGATCTCTCAAAGGCTCTTCAACAGGACCATGGCTGACTCTGTCCTGAACCTGCTCTTTTGATCATGGTTATCATCTGCACGACAGGCACCAACTACCAGTAATCTACTTCATCCTTTCGCCATTTTTTAAAACTTGGATTATTGGGACAGCTTCCAAATTGCTTTTCCTGTGAGCAGTCCAGTGTTCCCTACCCCATTTGACTTAGAGATCCAGTGAACATGTAAATCTGAGCGTCTTCCCCTGATTAAAACCCACCAGTAGTCCCCATCAGTTGTAGAATAAATTCAAGTTCTTTGGCAGGGGATACAACGCCCTCCTGATAGACTTATTTGCAAGACTCCCTTTCTGCTAATGGGCTTGTAGACTCCACCCACACCCTTTCATCCCTTCCTGTCATTCTGGTTTTGCTAAGGATGCTCTCTCTGCTGAGAGTGCTTCAAGAATCTGCTCATTTCCTCAATGAGAAAGCTACCTTTGACCCTTCCCTCTCCCCTCTAGGGCTAGACTAGGTATCTGTCATCTGCTCTCAGAGCACTCTGTGGCCACCTTTATCATGGGGCATAACCATGCCATATGAAAATCCTTTGTTATCTGTCTCCCCAATGGTCTACAAGTTCCACCTCCTTGGGGAAAAGGATTGTCTTATTCATTCCGCCTGGCAGAGAGTAGGCACTAAACAAATGTTGAATAGAATCTTAAGAAGAGGGTGGCAGCTGACACGAAGTTGAGAGAATGGGAGAAGGTGCAGATGGAGAGCGAGGGAAGGAGAGGTAGTAGCAATTGGGGGTTGCTGGGAGTTTGTGCACCCCTCCCCCATCCTAAGATCCGCATCTCTCTCTTGTGTCTTGGCATCTGGGTTCCAGCTCCAATTTACCCATTTTGCGGTTTCCAGAACAAGCGCTGTGCTTTTCCAGATGGGGTCCCTGGTTTGAGTCACACGGAGTGGGACTGAATGGACAATGTCAGAGAAAATTCTCTACTGCCCTCACTCTGACAGCCTGTCCCTTGCCTTCAACCATAGCACGCAGGTCACAGGCAGGAGTTCCGCCACTGCTTTTTGTTCTCACCCGCACCCCCCCACCCCCCACAGGACACATACCTTGGTGATGATTGTGACTCCCTCTTGGGGTGGCTTCATAGCTTTGAAAGTTGGACTCGGGCTTTTTTCCCCTACAGGCCAGGCCACTACAGAGGAAAGTCCCACTCGCTGCACCTCCACTCCCTCCCCACCCGCTGCAGCACAGGGGGTTTAGCACAGGCATACAGGGATTTCCAAGCTGAGTCTTGCAGGCTCACAGGGCGTTCCTAACTCAGCCTCTACACTCTGAAGAAAAGTCCTGGAAAGAAGGGATACCGAGGTACCCCCCCAGCAGTGGGACTGTCTTGCACCTGTGTGCCTGTTGGGAGCAGGGTGGGGAGGAGAGTGCCCAAGGGGAAGAGTGTAGCTTCAGCTCCCTGGTCGCCCAACAGCCTCAGACAAGCCACTTGGCCCTGGACTCAGTTTAGGAAGCTGTAGCAATGGGTTTGACCTCTTCCCTTGCCTGCGAGCATCACCACTAGGGAGAGGCAAAGGCTTGCAGAAACCCTAGCTCCCGTTCTGGCAGCCCGCAGCCAGAGGGTAGGGTGGGTCCCACGTGAGGGCTGGAGGGGGCAACGGCAGCAGAGGTCTGGCCCTGCCGCGGGCCGGCATCGGAGGGGACACTCCCGCCCCGCTCCTTGCCTCCCCTCTTCGCCCATCTGGTTCATTGTGTGGATTAACTGGGGTCCGGGGCTTTGGTGATGCGCAGCTTCAAGTGCCGCGAGGGAGGAGAAGCCAAGACGAGTCCCCCCTCCCAGCCCCGGGCGCCCAGGCGTGTAAACGTGGGCGGCGGTGCGCGGTGTCCTCCCCTCCCCTCGCGGCGCTCCCGCGTGTGCGGGTGTGTGAGTGCGTGTGTCTCCCTCGCTCCCTCTCGCACACGCTCCGGCACCAGTGCAGGCGGCCAGCCGGCGGCTCCCGGCTCGCTCTCTCGCTCCGACCGCTGCGCTCCCGCCTCGCCGCAGCCGCCGCCGCCTCTGCAGTCGTAGCCGGGCATGGTGAGTGAGTGAGTCCCGCCGCCGCGCGCTCCCCGGCTCGTCGCCGGACCCCAGCCTCCGCCGGCCCCG